GCCCTGCACAACAGTGGCCGTCAGCATCACAACTTAAGAACCTAACACAGTGCCTGGTCCTACCTCTGGGCGCGTTGGACGGCCAGCTTTGGACCGCTACCGTCGTGATAGGTTCCATACGTCAGGCACAATAATGTTGTGCGCCCCAGCCATAGGCTGTTGCACGTAGCCCGACGGCTGCATAATGCCTGCCAGGTATATTTGATAGACACAAAAAGATCTCATGTGTATTCCTTGTAGTAGCGCGCAGCACATTTCACAGCACAGCAATGTATCTTCAGGCTATACATAATATGCATATATATGGATACTATATATATATGTGTTCATATATATATATATATATATTCATATATATTCAGAACACTGTTGCACTCAATAGTTCTATCGCCAGTCAGTGGCCGTATTCACTCCGTATTTCATCTCAACTCTGCTGAAAAGTGTTGGCGGCAGCGGGATTCGATCTCACGCCCAGACATCGTGGTGCGTGCATGGGTCTGTGCTTTGCCTGATAGCTCGAAAATGAGTGCCACGGCGCACACTTTTGGCCTTGGAAATCGAAAGAGAATTGTTCAAGCTTCATTTCTATGCACTTTTCATGCATATATATGCTCCAGATTTAGAAAGCTGTGGGCCTGAAGAATGTCATTTTAACATGGGAACCCTATGGCTAGTCGTGAAATGTGCGCCGTTGCTGCCATATTTTATACTAGACTTTGGACCCCGATCCCAGCCACGGACAAAAAAAGAGCAACACAGCTGTTCCCGCTCACTCAACGCCGCGCGTGCTAAGGCAAACATACAAACTGAGGCGGACAAATGTTACTGGGAGTCACCGCCAGGTGCAAAGCGTTGTTGAAACTTTTAAAGGTAACACTTTCTGGGTCGCGCCCAATCTCTTAAAGGGCGCGACGATGCCATATTCAGTTAAATACTGGTTTTTACATGATCACAAGACTACCAAATGTTTCCAGAATACCATCCACTATCGTGAATACCACAAATAGTCAAGCGCAAGATTGCACATTGCTTTGTTAACAGGTGACACATGTACTGCTGTGCTGGAGCATTCAGTGTGCCCCTTGCAATAATATGGAAATAACTGAATGCCTTGCCATGCATTTCACAGCATACTAACTGAAAGGCATTTACTTAAAGGCACCAAAATGAAATGCATGAATGAATAATGACTGAAAGAAGACATGAAAGTGAATGAGACAAAAAAGTGGTCACAGCAATTTCACATGTGTTCTAATGTTAACTAAGTTCAAGCCTGAATGCCAAGGCTAAATAAGAAGGGTCTGCCAAAAAAGAAATAAAGGAAACCCAGTCATTCACAAACCTACAAAGATGGCATAGCATTTGCCCCCTGCCTTCTCCTTTTGGCTGCTGGACTGGAAAAAGCTTCCGATGAAAAATGTGTCCCGCACACTCCGTGCCCAGGTGCCACAACACCGATGCCACATGCATCAAGCCACATCTGTAGGTGGCCTTGTAGAGCTGGGAGTCTGAAAGGATCGCTATAATTGCGAAATTGGATTACTATGCAATATAATGAACATCTACGTCAAATGAGTAATGCAAACTGAAAATATCTGCCCACAGGGTGTGCTTTAACAGTTGTGCTAAGTGGCGATTCATCAGGAGTACAGACTACAGACGACATCTAAGTTGCCAAACATGCCTGGCACATGTTGAAATGCTTGTCCTCCCAAAAATAAGCAATACAACCTGGGACCATGCACCCATGAACTCTGCGACCTGTTAGCATGGTACATGACTGTCACCAGCTTTAATGAATGGTGAGCAAATATAGTGTTTTGAAATAGTGGCAGAAGCATCTCAAAAGTAATGTCATTGCCAGAATATGACAACTGGGCGCTCAGTTCAGTGCAAATGTGATTACAGCACATAGAGTGCAGTGATTGAGCACACTGGGGATATCTGCAATCTGGAACAATGGATTAGTTTTTGAGACTAATATCCTGGGTCTGGCCTGACTAGCAAACTTGAGATTAAATTACATGTCCGTTTATGCAGGTGGTTACACCAAATAGCCCAGGTGTAGCTCCACGAACTTAGTGAGAAAGGTAGAAGATGGGAGCATGCAGAAATATTTGAACTTACTAAAAAAATGTCAAAACTAGGTTACTCCCATATTTCACACACAACATGGGTATGAAATATGCCATGTGTAGGTGTCTGTCATCACTCACATTGGGCTGTGTAGTGACAGAGTTGTTATCCCTGTCTACTCACTCTGAGAAACCCTTTAACTTTGCCACACCCACCAACATCAGCATTTGTGTACCAAATCTGTGCCCACGTGCCATACTTAGACCTAGTCAATTGCTCTCAAAATTAACATGGTGCATCTTTTTTTGTTGCAACAATTAAGAACGTAAACAAAACGGGTTCTGAATTTCGTTGCAACCGTAAGCCCCGCCCCTAGCACTTGCACGCGCTGTTCAGCTGTCGTGTGCACCTGCTTTTCAATGACTTTGGCAATGTTTTATTTTTGAAGGCATTTTTGCCGGACATTGCTATAATTGCATACTCATTCCTCAAACTGTGACAAAAATTGAAAGGGACCGCTTACCATACTCAAAATGCATACGATATTGAGACGTGCATATCCTGAAATTATTGCTGCGATGTCGGTGATACGCCAGACATATTCGGCGTTAAATGTTTTTAACACATTGGGAGCGAGGTACTTACGCGAACACAGTCAAATGATTCACCATTGTCTTGCGATCACCGCACACATAACACTTTCTGTTGGGCACCTCGCACCGAAAAATGCCCCGTCCACGAGTGCCGCACAACCCGAAAGTGCTCACATTTACGTTCGCAACACGCATTCAGCAGCAAAATGTTGTTAACAGCCAATCATCTTCCGCGGATTATACCACATGTGCAGCATCATCACCTATGCGAATGTATCAGCGCCCATACTGTTGTTACCACAAACAAAAAACGGCCTGTAATAATACGGCGATCTAGTGGCGTTTCTATGGCGTCATTAATCGGAAGGTGATTTTGAAATGGGCTCCAAATAAATCTTTTCGCACTTTTTCGGGCGTGTAACTCAGGGTCCAGAGCATTTGGGTCTTAAAAAGGGCATATCCGTGGCCTGTATCAAAAGGTCCTCAAGATAGCTATTTCAGTTCAAGCCCCCATACAAAGGTGGAACGTCCCCTTTAATAATCTGCTTTAAAAACTGGCAATTGCCACGTTGCGTATGTCGAGCAGCGCACCAAGGCCTCTGTTACGACCAGTACCGAGGCAAAAAATCCACAAACAAGTCATTCAGTAATCCGCCACCCCACACGGCGCCCGCGACGAGATTCGCCGGTTGGCGTCAGCGTTCGTGTGTTTCGAGGTATTCTTTAGGTCTGGCTGCCAGGTGCTGCCATGCATTGCTGTCGTCACAAAACCAATTCATGACGCTAAACAATGGCGTTAGATTTTATTTAGACGGCATGTATGTAATTTTGTACTCCTACATTTCGGGAGTGGTGCAATTTAGTGGTTAATTTTTTCGGGCAACAAAATACGTGGGGTAAATTCCCTACCAGGCCGTGATGGTGATTGTGTCAGGCTTTGCTTTTCTGTGTTGTTTGCGTGGTGTGGCCGAAAAAAGTTGGGACGCTTAAAAATCTTGCATTTGGCGCGTAGCCGAAGATGCCTTTAACCAATATCCATGCTCAAAGACGTGGACGGGAAAATGAGCCTTTATTCGCCCTAGCTTCACTCACTTGTCAATACAGCCCGCTGTTTCTGGTGCATCAAATGTGTGACAGTTGTTGAAACTGGGAGTGGTGGCGCAGGCCTGTCTCCATGCCTAAAGAAGACTCAATGATCACGACCACGGGGCACTTGCATCAAGTATGGTTTTTCCTTATTACGATTACTATCACCTTTCTACACATTTTGCGTTGCAGCCTTTGTTGTCTAATTTTTCACCTATGATACTTGTTTGAGCGCAGTTTCGTGTGAAGAAATCGTTTCAGTACCTGATGTCGGTGAAGCATTTGATAAGGATCGAAAATATGCGGTCAGCAGTCTTTGTGGAATGTAGGTAGAGATCCTTAATTTTTTCGTGTGTGTTGTCACACAGAAGTTCTTCGACTGCATGTAGCAATAGGGTGCATGTTTTGCAATATTGCTGAATGTATCAACGGTGTCACTGAATGGAAAATGATGTTGTGGACAAAATATTACCATCCTTGCTTTTGCGCTCCAAATAAACCTTTTCGCACTTTTATGGGCGTGTAACTCAGAAACCAGAGCGTGTTGGGTCTTGACAACGGCATATCCGTGAACTGCATCAAAAGGTCCCCAATATGGCTATTTCTGTTCCGAACCCCATACAAAGGTGGAAAATTCCCTTTAAGTAATACCGCCCTTTTGTCCGAAGATCAGCAGCCCAAATGCTTGGAGCAATGCTTTGTTCCATAAAAGTATCCATTAATTTGTCTGTCCAAGTTTGCTTGTCAGCGCGGATGGCGTCGCCAGATTTACATGCACTGCATACTGCGCTGGCTAAGGCAAGGTCGAGGCTCGCCACGATCCCATGCCGCGCTAGCTGAGGCAAGGTCGAGGTTCGTACCGCTCCATACCACACTGCCTGAGGCAAGATCGAGGTTCGTACCGCTTCATACCACACTGCCTGAGGCAAGGTCCAGGTTCGCCACGATCCCATACCGCACTGGCTGAGGCAAGGTCGAGGCTCGCCGCGATCCCATGCCGCGTTAGCTGAGGCAAGGTCGAGGTTCGTACCGCTCCACACCACACTGCCTGAGGCAAGGTCGAGGTTCGCCGCGATCCCATACCGCACTGGCTGAGGCAGGGTCAAGGTTCGCCGCGATCCCATACCGCGCTCGCGGGGCGAGGTCGAGCTGTGCCTCCTCCCCCCCCCCCCCTGATCCGCGTCATTTCGGCCACTTGCGTAGGAACCTGTGCGTCATAACTATTGTCGCTTTGAAAAAGAGATATTGGGCACATGGTTGGCAACTGGTGCTCGCCTCCTTGCTCGCTATCAGAGGTCCTGTAAAACTATCATTGTTAGGTTTGCAAATGGGCAGATCAGGCGATAGCAATATGCTTGAAGTCTGCTCTCGATGCAATCAGTGGGATATATTTATATTGTTAGATCTGGGGAGGGAGACAGAACCCTGCCACGAATTCAGGCATCCAAAAATCGTGCAGGAACAGGTATAAAGCCATCATACTTACACTGTCAAAGGACCGATGGATGTTTTGTTGTGAAACCACTTTTTCTTTAGTTTGTCAATGGGCCGTTGTTTTTCTTAGATATGAAGGTTCTCGCATCACACAAATTAGGCAGAATCATTTTGGTATCACGTGAGTTCATATTGTCAAAGATTCTGTAACTGCACGAAAGAAGGATAAAGTGTTTGTCATAATAATATGATCTCCCTTCTCCAGCCCGGAGTGTGTCGACGCTACATCCGACAGTGGGTGAGGCGGTGGTGCGAACAACACGGATGTCGTGATAAGAGCTGTTTGTGCAGAACTTCAGCTCCGATTGTCAGCTTTCGAAGGCCAACTGTCGCATCGTCGGTCACTATCGGCGCTGGGGAGGGCCAACTGTCGCATCGTCGGTCACTCACGGCGCTGGGGAGGCCTCACTCGGATAGAGGTGACGGTGTTGCCAGGATCACTGGCAGGAACTCCAGATCAGTTCATCATTATGTTCCACATAACATAACATAACCACATAACTGAGTGAGCCTTGCATTTTGCCGCGAAAACAACTCGTGGGGAACCAGGCATGCTCCTCCACCTCCGATTCGAAGCTCGTTCGCCTACTCCGGTAGGGCCACGTAACGTCCAGCGCTCAAGGGAAAGGTGCAGTATGGATACGAGTGTAGTCACGGCTCTGAAGTTGGGAAAAACCAATCAGGGTATGGTAAAGCTGCAGTTTGGAAGGTCATCCGACCTCAACATGATTTTTGATTGGAAGAGCATGAAAAACAGACCGCAAGAGCTGGAGGAAACAAAATCCCGGTTTTGGCAAATTGAAGGGATCTTGTTTCCGTCAGCACGTCCCCATGGGTGTAAAGGTTCAATATAACGCTATCAGCCACTGCCCCTCGCGGTTCTGGCCAATGCCATCTCGTCACTGATTTTTATTAGGCGTAGAGTGAGTTCACCGCACATTACAGCAGCCGCTCATCGTTTTCTCTCGACAAACAATGGGCTTACTTGTCACGAGTGCACAAACTGCGGTGTCTCTGGAAGAACTATTTGTTTTGCTACATTCCAAGTTATTCTAGCCCACCTTCCTTCGCATTCTTTGCTGACTCCAGCACCAGCGGCGCAGGAAGTGGGAGGGGCACAGGAGGGACGTGCCCCTCCCCCTTATATTCCAAGCCGCCCGGAGGTTAAACTCACGGCCCGCAGGGCCGGGCACTTCATTCGCAGGGCCGGGCATTTCAAATAGGACCAGAGTACACTTTGTGCCCAACTGGGTCCTCTGAGTCGACAAGGGCATATATGTCGGTCAGACATCACCAGTACCGCACGATCCGCTCCGTGTCGGCATGGGCCTGTGGACCTTTTACCAAGTTACTCAGGTCAGGGGGACTGTTGCGCCGATCGGGGACCCCCTGACTCGATAAGGGCCTTGACATCGACCAGAGACCACTAACAGCAGTTGACTCCGTGTCGGTCTGAGCCCTGGGGCCCATTTCTCATGCAGAAGTAGGGCAGAGCCCTATCATTTGCATTGATTTGGGTCCCTGAAGCAATGATCGGGGCCCTGTGTCAGTCAGGAGCCCCAGTACCAAACGATGAGGTGTCCAGCCCATTCCGGCCAATGCCAGCTGAGCCGAACTGGGGTTTACTCTCAGTGTCATTCTTAAAATTGCAAAGGTAAAAGACGACTGAAATGCCTTCTTGAATGTGCAAGTTGATATCCTGAATCGTCTAAAGGCACTTCTTTCAGATGCGTCCCCATTTTTGTTCGCCCGTTGGTAACGGCTTAGCTGCGGAGCCAATGCCACGCAACCAGCAGAGGCTATAACGCAGTGCGTCGAAAATTTGTTGCTAAGATTTGCGAGTATGCATGTTCAAAAACCAAGTTAAATACATTTTTTCATTGTTCACATATGACCGGATGTAAAACAGTTCCGGACGGACATGGAATGGTCATGTAAGTGCAGGTTTTTGACGCAATTTTGATCCACCGCACGTCTACGGGTTCCTCAATATCTGCATGGAACTCAGTTCAAACTTCTGGTAAAGCTTCTGTATGCCATCGGTTTAAAGGGACTCCACTAAATCGCAGCAAAATAAAGACCGCCGGCGGCCTTTTCTTTGCTGTCGTTTAACGCCCGACTCCTTCGGTTTTTGCCTTTAAATTCGAACAGACCTGATCTCACCGTAGCTTCTGGCTTCTGCTCCAGTTATTGAAGACAAGAATTGTGAATCACAAAGAAAGCCCATCATTAAGAAATGGGAAATATCCGGTGATTCTTTTTTGGAGGTCTTTCACCCTAAGAGGCCCTTTGTCGACCCTGTGTCCTCCACCCTGGCTGTGCCTCCGTCCAGCATTAACTACGTGAAGGACAAACTGCCCAGCTTCTTGCGCACGCTAGTTATTGACGCTCCGACCGGCTCACGCAGCCGAGCGGCCATCTTACTGCGCAGCTTGGCGACGGGTACATCGCCGCAGCCAGCCTTCATGATGACGCGCGTGTTCCTACCGGCATCGGCCAGCTCGTGACTGCGAGGACAGTGGTCGTCTTGGCAGGTGTTCGTGAGGAAGCCGATGCACACGTGGAGCTCATCGCATGAGCTCTTCAGGCATCTGTCATATACGTAGTCGAAACAGATGGGTGGCAGGCCGGCCGCCCACACGGCGACGCAGCGGCCACGCACGCTCAGCCAGCGAAGAACCTCGTCATCTTCGTCCTGTCGCCAGCCGAGCTGGCTCAGTATCGCGCCGTTGTGCGTCGTACGCAGCGTGTGCGGCCGCCCACACCGGCACAGCACGCACCGGCCCTCCACGAAGTCGGCGCACACGTGCAGGTGGCCGCACGGATTCCACGGACATCCGCCCTTGGTGGAGAACTCCACACAGACCTCCGGTAGGCGCTGCGACCGCTTCTTCCACGGCACGGCGTACAGCTCCTCGGGCGGCGCTGACGGCTGGTCGCGCGAGCTGCCGTTGGCCGGCAACCGGGACCACGGCAACGGCTGGGGGCCGACGCAGTCCGACGTGTTCTCCTCGTCGTCGGTGAAGTCGTCGCTAAACTCTTCGTTTAGATCGCCGTCTGTCGGCATGGATGGTCCCGTCGGAGACATCGGTGCTGCCGCCAGCGGGAACGTAGGCAATGCCCCTAGCATCGGTGGCTGTATCCCCGGCATGGGTAACTGTTTCGCTTGCATGGCTGGTCCCAGTCTAGCACAGCAGACGTCGGTCTGCGACCCTGATATTTCTTTCTGTTGTCGTTTCTTGGTACTGGTCGCCATCGTGAATCGGAATATCTTCTTTTTGACTTCCTTACCCTCCTGCCGATTCTCGCGCTGCGTACACGCATGTGGTGCTTTCTCATAAACTACAGTCTCGCGTACCTCACAACCAACCATACTGTATGACTTTGTGTGTCTTTTCATTATCGATATCGATTTATGAGAAGATCTGTGCTTGAGCAAGCCAGTTACGGCGTTGCTTTAAACGCCGTTTATAGTGTGTCCATCATTTTTTAACAGTATTTAAGAGCTTCATTTTTCGAGCTTGCACCGACGCCGCCTCAGTTGGCTTCGTTGTCCGTGATTTAGGTCACGCCTCCTCCAGTTCCTTCACTATTGTCCACTCCTGATCCCCGTCGGTGGCTGGTGTTCCAGCGTCAGAGTAGCGCTGAAACACATACAGGAAATGTCAGCGGCCTTTACGTAGCTTTCTAGCCAGTGCGTAACCGTAAAAGTGATTTTATTTAGCCTTAGCACTTCGAACGCTTCGCCAGTCCTAATGCCGCACACCCAGCAGAGTCAACGGATGTCGCGGCATATTTTTTTCTAGTATTTTGAGCTTCGATTTATGGCCGTTCGAGTTATGCCCGATAAGCCGAGGAACAAAATGTTGTGATTGATGCTGAACCTCGCAGCTTGTTCAGTCTTTCCCCAGGTGGACAATGTATGCCTAGGATTGGTCTCCAGCTAGTCGGCAAGCCGGTTGGCCACCGCTCCATCGGCTGGCCGTGTAAGATGGCTTGCCGTCGCGTTGGCCATCCACACCTCGTGGTCGGCCATGGGTGCGTCGAGACGCCAACTGCCGGCCGTCGGGACGCTTGCGGAGCTGTTGAAAAATATGGCAGTGGACCTGCTGAAAAATACCCCCGTAGGGAAGCTGGCGGAGCTGTTGAAAAATACCGCCGTCGGGATACTGGTGGAGCTGTTGAAAAATATGGCAGTGGACCTGTTGAAAAATACCGCCCTAGGGAAGCTGACGGAGCTGTTGAAAAATATGGCGGTGGACGTGTTGAAAAGTACCGCCGTAGGGAAGCTGGCGGAGCTGTTGAAAAATATGGCAGTGGACCTGTTGAAAAATACCGCCGTCGGGATACTGTCGAAGCTGTTGAAAGATACCGCCGTCGGGAAGCTGGCGGAGCTGTTAAAAAACAGTACCGTTGGAAAGCTGGCGGAGCTGTTGAAAAATATGGCAGTGGACCTATTGAAAAATACCGCCGTGGAGATACTGGCTCAGCTGTTGAAAAATATGGCAGTGGACCTGTAAAAAATACCGCCGCAGGGAAGTTGGCGGAGCTGTTGAAAAATACCGCCGTCGGGGTGCTGGCGGAGCTATTGAAAAATATGGCAGTGGACTTGTTGAAGAACCCCGCCGTAGGGAAGCTGGCGGAGCTGTTGGAAAATACCGCCGTCGGGATACTGGCGGAGCTGTTGAAAAATATGGCAGTGGACCTTTTGAAAAATACCGCCGTAGGGAAGCTGTGGGAGCTGATGAAAAAATGTGTACGCACGCGTTTGAACCACGTACATTTGAATGCACATGAACTCACTCTGACTTACAGTCGCTCGACGGCTTGCAGCCTTTTTTGTAACCGTGTAGCTGCTTACTAACTTGCGTGTGATGGAAGCACGAATACGGGCATGCGTAAGCTTTCGATCTACCGGAAAATCATCAAATGGATAACACGGTGGATAAAACGGAGAAAGCGGAAGCTATGGCCAACTAATATCGTTATCGAAAGTCGTCATCGAAATCGAAATCGAAATCGAAATAATCGAATCGGTCATCGAAAGGTTACGCTTGTGCAGGCGCGGTGCCAGGGCCTTGGCAAGGGAGGAGTACAGGGCTCACAAAAAGGCCCCCCGTAAGCGACAGGACCTCCTTAAATCGTCGAATATGGTCAAGTTGTTAATGAGGATTTATTTCTATGTTTTTCGTTAATGCCTTTTACAATGGGAATAGAAGTCAGAAGCCACCGTGAGATCACTTCTGCCTGAATATTTTAGTCAATCAATAAAAAATGAGGTGTCAAACGACTACGCGAAATAAATCACCGGCGTCTTCACTTTACCGTGGTCCACTGGAATCTTTATAAAACGAGATAAATGATAAGCTTTGTTAAATATTTTTCTGCGTGTATAGATGCAGTAAGCGCTGGCGAACGTCGATCAAAATGATTCAGCAATTTATATTGGCATACCCAAGCAAAGGTTATTTAAAAACAGTCAATATTCGGTAAGAATTAATTGGCGATACAAATCACGCAACGTAGTTTTGAGCACGCGCGCTCGCAAATCCTAACAATAAAAACTCCGGTGCCAGACGTTGCAATCTCCATAGACCGGACAATGTCGATCCTGTGGCTAACACTAAATCGTGGCCAACGGATGGACGGAAATAATTATGCATTTAGAAGTAATACTTTTCAAAGCTGTAGGACATCAAACCGTACATTTAGGAGACATCTGGGCGCAAATTTCATCTGTGCGATTTTTGATTGATGAATTGGAAGCATGCGCCTTTACAGCACCGCAAAGAAGTGCTGGGGTCTGATGGTAGAACTAAAGGAGAAAAAGATGGAATCACCATTTGCTGCTACAGCTGTTCATCTGTCCAGAGGACAACCTCGAAATTGCAAAAATGATGCGCCCAGCCTATTCTTTGAAAGGTACGAATTACTTTTTTTAGACATTCGGAAGCAGCATTCCACGACAGTCGCTCTCGCGCGCACGGCACTCGCTGCCTGGTGTTGCTTGCAGTGGCCAACCCCATTCGGTTTCACGGAAACTGCAACCCAAGGCATCGCTGACCTTGATTCGGAGATTGCGAGCGAGCAAGCTCAGGCCTATTGATTACTTGTTTCAGTAGTCGATTCTGCAAAAGATTAAGCGTTAACGTTCATTCTTCCGCAAAAACTCTCATGTCCGTATGAGTACTCATGACCCATCCATGACGGACCTGAGAATTATGATGCTAATATGGCCGATCTTGTTTGTTTTTTAACTCGTTTTGACCCACTCTTTTCAACACTTATGATACCGCTTATTTCCGGGGAACGGCTCCCGCTTGAGAAGAACACTACAGTGCACGTTACTGTTCTTAGTCAAGGGTGAAGAGCCATTCCGTCCCACTGCGGGGTGTCTTCCGGCTGTCATTCTGCTGACAGGAGGCGAGATCCCCTGGCCGGTCCGAAGGCTCTTAGAGGGATACATCCTATCATAATGGACCCCTTCCTGACGCAGGAGGCCTTCTGACCCGGCCAGACCGCAGTTGACCCCGGATCGACGCAGGAACCACGATTAACGCAACAACATTCCTGCATCCCTTATTGCCGCAGGTGGTCCAATAATTGGCACCCAGACTCCAGTTCGGCTTAACGGGCGCATCCTGGAACTGGGTTGATGGGCCCATCGTTCGGTGCTTGGGGCCATGATTGGCACAGAACCCTTTCATTGCCTCAATGTAAGTAATCATCACAAGCTCTCATGTTTCCTTTCATTGTCAGAGTGCCCAACCAACGCAAGAGGCCCTTTGTCATTCAGGGTCCTGCCCCGGTCTTGTTAAGCAAATCTTCTCCTGTTCGATTCGAGGCTCCTTGCTGGCACATAATTTCCTTTAAGGCACCATGGGTCCCTGAACGATATAGGCGTCACACACTGTTGCAGCGCCCGACAGTTGTAAATCGCGGGCCCGGCCTTGTCCTTGCTTGGGAAATAAGCTCCCAGAACTCAGACCGACACGGAGCCGACTGCTCGGTGTTTACGATCTCTAGCCAAAACAGAGGAATACTCTGCCTCAGGGTTCCAAAATCGGTGTAAGAGGCCCCCTAACTGAAATTTGAGATCACGGCCCCACGGGTCGGGGCCCTTGATGTGACCTACAGCATCCCTTTGGGCCGTTCAGCCTTTCAGTCGGGCTCCTAATCTCTGGTCTCAAGAGACCCTTCGGCCCCTCGTCTATCCCCCTCAAACACCGCTCCCGGCTGACTCGGGCCACTTGCCGCCACAAAACTTCTGTTGTGCACTGTGACCCCAGACCGACACACGAGCCCCTCATTTTGTCAGAGATCCTGAACATTGCTAATCGTGGGCCTCGGTGTCGTTTCTGCTTGGGAAATGGGTCTTAAGGGCTCAGACGGACATGGAGCTGACTGTTTGGCTCCACGTCGAGGCCCTTTATAATAGGGATAGAGAGCCCTGATAAGGGGGTCCTATAGAAGCCTTCCGAATGACATCTCAGGTCACGGCTTTACGAGTTTGGGGGGGGGGGGGCGACGGGCCCGAGTCCAATCGGGCCCTTGATCTTTGGTCCCAAGAGGCTCTCCGAACCCCCTTCAGACCTTCTCAAACAAAGCCCATGACCGACTAGGGGCCCACTACCGAGACATAAGTCCCTTTGATACACTTTAGGCCCCTGACCGACTCAGGGGACCCAACAATTGTTTCAGGGACTCCGACAATGCAAATGCCCCCCCCCCCCCCCCTCCAGTCTCACTCCTGCTTGGAAAATGTGCTCTCAAGGTTTCCAGACTGACAGGGGGCCAACTGTTCGGTGTTCGTGGTCTCTGACCGCCTTAAACACGGCGCATGGTCTCAGGGGGGTCCTCTAGCGATGCAAGATGACCTCTGGCTGATATTTCTGGTTACGACTCTACGGGCCACGATTTTTTATGTGACCTACAGCCAGTCCCTCCGGCCCCTATGCCCTCCAACCGGGCCTTTGAAAGTCGTTTCCGTTGTGCCACCCTGGCCCATCTTCGGGCCTCATCGAACACTGCCCTCGGTCGGCTCTGGGCCTCTTGTGAGCACACAACCCTCTGTTAGGCGCTGTGAGCCCCTGACAGACACAGGGGCACCAACCAATGTAAATCATTGACCCCGGCTTTGTAGCTGGTTGAGAAGTGGGCCCTCAGACCCATACCGATGCGGAACGGACCATGCGCTATTGGTGGTGCCTGAACCGACATATACACCCATATGGACTCAGGGTACCCTGATCGGCGCAAAAAGCGACCTGACTGTCATTTGTGGATCCGTCCTCGCAGACGGGGGCCTCTGAGTACGACTCCGACCAGCCGTTCGTACACCCGGACACTCTAGTCGAGCTCCCCATCGTCGGATCCGGTGGGCCCTCCAAGCTCTCCGGATTTCCTCCAACATTGTCTTTGGCCGACTTGAGGCTCCTTGCCAAAACAGAGCCCTTGTTAGGCGCTGTGGGACGCTGACAGACGCTGTGGGACCCGACCAATGCAAATCGCTGGCTCCGGCTTTATCCCTGCTTCGGAAATGGGTTATCTGGCCCACGTCGCCAAGGAGCCGACTATGCGTTACTGGCGGTGTCTGACCAGCAGATAGGCCCTTAGCTACTCAGGGGCCGTGGATCAGCACACAAGGCCCTCTGGCTGTCATTGGAGTGCCGGCTCTGCTGACCGGAGCACCTGAATACGGCCTCCGGACGGCCTTTCGGGCTCTTGATTATAGGCCACGATGGTTCCGAAAGTCCCCTTGGAATCCAAGGGAAGGCTAGTGGGGGGGGGGGGGGGGGGGGCATGTGCTCCCTCTGCCAACCTTTTGCCCGCTCTACTGTGCTTGTGCTCATTTATGATGTCCATTTTCCAGGATAAGCTAATGTTAAGGATAGGGAGATGTTACCCAGGCAAACCTCTGGCTACGTCACTACCAATGAACAGGGGAGAGCTTGTTAGCAAAGCATTCTTCGGATTTTTTCTTGCAGAACTTGTACTTTACATAAATCGAGTCCGTGGAGTTATCTAGAACGATACTGAGCACCCAAATCCCTTCAGATAAAAAATCACAGAAAAGTGTAGTGGTGTTATGCAGCCGAATATCCCACCCACCGGAGAATGGCTGACGACCGTTTTCACGTAGCTGCAGATAAAATTATCAGGTCAGATTATAACACTGCTCTATGTGGAACCGTAAGCCCTAATAGTCTGCTGCATATTATATACGATGCGAAACTCAGTTAAATTCCCGGCCGTGAACAGCAAAGCATTCCGTGATGCCTCGTAGCTCTGTCAGTGGTCCCCAGCACGCAACTGCTTCTTACCTCACGACGGAGTGGGCTGACTATGTAGGCTCTGCGGAGTTGGCGTACCTCGGCGACACTGATTGTTCCTCTGGGCCCACCGGATGACGCCAGGTCGATAACGCTTATCTCAAGATACGCGCAGCATACCGACGTTGTTTGCTGCATTGGTGACCTGGCTGCCCTTTGAGATAATCATTCGTTGAACACCCCTCCGCCGTGCTGCACCCCGTCAGTGACGGAGCCAACCGTCGATAAACAATGTCATGGTGGGTCAGGGGCATGCTCACAAAACTGGTGCACGGTAATTGTCTTTAAACGCCACCATTAGTGTGTCACTATCGCGTAATGACCCGTACTGCAGCACGATATTCAGACCGAGGCGCAGGACTTTGGCAGGAGGCTTGGACGCGCGCAGTACAGGCTATGACTGTCTTCAACATTTACGTGCATTGCTACGTGTGCAGAGTAGTGATGGCTTGCGTTTAGGCAGCTGTGGGGTCGTCTAAACGGTCTCATATCAATGAGGACTGCGTGGTTGCACACCTCATCCTGAAAATAGCATGTACGGAGGGGCCGAGTCCACTTACGTTCGAATGGCCTGCTGGTCAGTCCATGTGCCCGGTGGTGTCACGCCATCTGGTTCGACGCGGGGGCTGGCAAACCCGAGCAGGAGTGACACTTTCAAAAACAGGTTGGGGGGTGGGGCCTGAGCCAATCAGGTTCACCTAACCTACCCCAAAATCCTGATTTATCCCCGTATTTCGGCCACGTTGATTAGCATCCACCTGAGGTACAGAGATCGATTTGAATTTCACCGCTTTCAACATTGTTTTGTATCGAAGAACGACTCCACTTTGAAGCAGGTGGAATAGTGATAATGTAAGATATCATGATGATGTTATTGAAAATGATGTTCTTAGGTGCCTGGTATATCAGCAGTCAGAGGCTTGCTGCACTTCACTGACTCAGCTTTCTTTTTGGTTCACATGCATTGAGAGCGGGCTCATAAAAACATTGAGATGGAGCTTAAGTCAGCACTGGGGGCCCAGGCGCCCCCAGTATAAAACGTGACAGCTCTGTGAAAGTGACAGTGAAAGTGAAGGTGAAAGGCAGTGGAAGAGTACAAAGGTGACAGCCCTGTACCGGGCATCATAGTATACGTGAGTCACAAAAGCTGGAGTGACGTAAGTGGCTGGTCAAAGTGCTGAATGATAATACCAGCCAGGCACCATGCATAGTTCTTGTCCACCTCTGTAGGTCCTCAACAGTGGCTCCCACCCCCGCCATTTATTAACGGTGATCGGAATTGAAGCAGGGAGCAAACAGGTCCATACTACTCGATCCGGTTCACCCATTGCTGAAGGGCCTCCTTGCCCTGACTGACACACACTCGTGGTTAAGACCGCGTGCGGCCGGCAAGCAGGCCGTTTGAAATTTAAGAACCTCTCCGATAAGACCCCTGAAACTAGACCTCCCGCTGCTTATTCATTCGACACTGTACCATATAAATTTGCAGCACACCCATCCGCGAGCCCTTATTCACCTCATTCATGCATGATGCACGGGACACGGGCTGGCACCCGCGTCCGTCTCGCCGCACCTCCCGCACCCCTGTCATCCCACTGTATGTCCGCCGTGCCACGACCACATTCGTCTATGGAACCGGAGCTACCGAAGTCGAGAGAAGATAATGTTGCCAAATGTCCGGCCAAGCGTACGCCTACACCGCTTGTTAATAACGACGAAGCATGTTCCATTTCAAACGTCTATGTAAACAAATTGCACATGCTTCCATTTCAGCCACCGCTGCCGTGGCTGCGGCTCTGCGGAAATCCGAGACTGACCTTGAAATATCTGACCTTCAGTGCGACTGAACCCGATCTGGATGTTTGCGGCCAGGTCTGTGCCTGCTCACCACGTCTTGCTTGGGCGAACCCGTTGGAGAAGTAACCGATGAAACAACACAGCGGAAGATTCTGAAGAAGGAGGCGAGCAAGTGGCGTCAGACGTCGGAGGACCTGCATGAACTGCTGCAGGATGCTTATCACGCCCGTTCGGCTATCAACGCGACGCTCTCTCGAATCGACGGCTGTGAGTGCGATGCCACCCGCCCTCGTAAGACGAGGCGGCGGGCTCTATCGGCCGATCAGCCATGCGGCACGCTATCTGTAGCCGTCCCGACCCCTGCTCCTGCGTAAACTATAGATTGCATAGAGGTGGCGCAGCAGGGAGCGGGCAGAGCGACTGCGGTGACTGACTGACTGCGAGCGACTGACCCATCCCCCCCCATGCCTGCGCGGCAGCGGGGAGCAAGAGTATGTTTTTGGCCTTCAAAACATTGGGGGCCCTTCTGCAAAACTAGTGTCACTGCAGCTGCCGGTAGATAAGCAAAATTCACATAAAGGAAGCCCCACTAATTAAGCTAGCCAGTAATAATTCGACTCAGAAGGCCCTTCTCTTCATCGAAAGTCCCGTTATCTGTATCATGAGGCCAACGTTATGAACAAGGTAGCCCATCACACAGTTAAGTAGGTCCAACGCTGTGTAAAGGAGGCGGCCTCCTTGCTGGTTCAGGAGGCTCCCGTTGCGAACTAACAAAAGCCTGTGTTCCGGGTTAAGGGATGTCCTGTCAGGGTGCCCTGTTTTGGGAACCGAGGTCATCTGGTGCCTTTTTTTGCGTCAGATGACCGCGGTTCCGGATCAGGGTGCCCTGTTTTGGAAAACGGGGCCCCTTGGCTAGTTTGAAGGCCGCTCACTGAACCGGAAGCATCTTGTTCTGGATTCGGAGGCCCTTGCATGCACCATAATACCGTTTTTAGAGCAGGTGACCCCATTTTAGAACAGAATGACGCTCTACTGAACAAACAGAAGGCCTTGTTCTGGATTTGTATTGTCTAGCAGCATGCAGTTCCAGCCGGGGTGGCTGTTGCTGGCTTCAAAATCATCTTTAAGATCTTGTGCTATCTGGTAAAGCTGCCGTGCAAGAACTTTATATCTGACACTACAGGAGGCAAGCTTTTCAACATAAGCGCGCATCATACATTTTTTTAAAGCCTTAACGAGCATACTTCCCGGCAAAACTGAAATTTACCTGTTACAAGTCATTGGTATGCAGAGCATTAAACATGCACATGAGTTTGTCAAGAGGCTATGAACCGCTTGAAACTTTGAGTTGGGGCAGGATTTTCCAGGGGGCCTCCTGGACGGAGTGGAGCCCTCTCACAGGAGACGAGACCACTCGGGCCTTGTCGTATTCAAGGGGCAGGGGGACCCAGTGCACGTGCCTTCTTCGAGTAAACATGCGATGCCAATTGACATTCAGAATGAGGCATTCTGGTTATTCAGCAAAGCGTCTCTCTGTTTTAAAACAGGGACACCTGCTCCAGAAAATGATATAAGGACGCATATAAGCAATGCCTCCTCTTTATCCAGAACAAGATACGTCCGGTTCACCGAGCGACCTCCAAATCTAGCCAACGGACCTTGTTTTCCCAAAACATGGCACCCTGATCCGGAACTGTGGTCATCTGACGCAATAACTTGTTTCACGAATGGGGCCTCATGAATATTAAGGGTTCCCTTAACCCGGAACACAGCTCTTTAGTTCGTAAAAAACTGTTCCGATTTAAGAGGCGGCCCCTTTGCTGGTTCAAGGGCCTCCTGAACCAGCAAAGAAGCCGTCTCTTTGACACAAAATTGGACCTATTAATCTGCAGGGTTGGCCACCTTATTCATAACGTTGGCCCCATGACACAGATAACGCGTTCCTTGATATAGAAAAAGGCCTTCTGAGCCCGATTTAAAACTCACTGGCTCAATTAGTGTGATCTCCTTGATATGCGTGTCGGTTATCTGCGGGTAACTGCAATGCATTTAGCTTTGAAAGGGCCCCCCAAAATTTTTAGGCACAATAGCATCCTGCTGCTCTCCACTGCCGGCAGGCAGGGAAGAGGGGAGGACCACAGCCTGCTCGGCCCTCCCACAAAACACAACACAGAACACAGCACAAAACCACACAGACGCACCAACACAAAGCTATACACCAACACAAACACGCACGCACGCGCGCGCGCATGAACGCCGGAGCCACGTCTGTGACGCGCTGCTGACTTGAATCATCTCAGGCGGGCCGGAGCAGGTGATGGACGACTGCCTGTCGGTCGTGTCCGTATCCGCTGCTCGGCACCGCGCGGCCGAGGAAGATGACGTCGCCTTCCCCGACCGTGGGAAGCTGGTCTTCAGCGCTGCCACCCATCCGGACGTCCACAGAGGCGAGTTCAGGGACGGCCGCGGCCAGGCGTCCGCTGAGCCGAGGGGGCCACGCCCCTGGCCGTCGACTCAGGCATCAGTCAGGTGCCAGGCGTCCGCTGAGCCGAGGTGGCCACGCCCCTGGCCGTCGACTCAGGCATCAGTCAGGTGCTAGGCGTCCGGCTGAGCCGAGGGGGCCACGCCCCTGGCCGTCGACTCAGGCATCAGTCAGGTGCCAGGCGTCCGGCTGAGCCGAGGGGCCACGCCCCTGGCCGTCGACTCAGGCATCAGTCAGGCGCCAGGCGTCCGGCTGAGCCGAGGGGGCCACGCCCCTGGCCGTCGACTCAGGCATCAGTCAGGTGCCAGGCGTCCGGCTGAGCCGAGGGGCCACGCCCCTGGCCGTCGACGTGCTGGCTCAGGCGCCGTTCAGGGGCCAGGTGTCCGCGGTCTCCGGATGGGGCGTTGCTCTATTGTAGTTCATCTGAACACATAGATAATAATTAGGATGCTATTTGTTAATTTGCAATGTCGGAGTGTCCTTGGAGTGTTTGGCACAAAATGTTAAATATTAGCCCTTGACATGCCAATGGCTGTGTGCAATCACAGGCATATTCCGACTAAATCCTTTTGCTTCCAAAGGTGTTCATTTTAAATGAACAATCGTACTATTTCGGAAGCCCAATGGTCCTCACCAAACACCATTTTAGATTTTTTCAATGGCGTGCTAAAACCATCGGGTACATTTATCCGCCAGAGCGCTGTCCTGCTCGAAATGGCGACTTCCCAATGCCTGAAGATCGTCAGAGGTTCTACCGTTGCCGCGGAGAAGGATACGCCGCCGAGGACTGTGGGGAGGGACACATCTTCCATTCCGTCAAGCATTACTGCGTTTTAAAGACACCAGGTAATAACGCAGAAAGGTGCGCTGCCGCGATTGTGACCAGGGCTGCCGCTCCTCGGCACGCATTATGTTTGTTGTCGTGTGCAGTGCAATGAACTCCTGAGAAGATCACAGCCGGACGTCTGAGAGGCATGACCAGATCCGAGAGAGGTGAGACGGCCAAAATACGTGAGAAATCAATATGCCAGCGTGATGAAGCCAGGATGACAGCGGCTCATTTGGATGGCTCCGTTCGCGACAGTGCTTTGGCAACTATGGATAGCTTATTCTGTACAGCAATGACGGCGACGACCAGTAGACGGATCCGTCAGTATCGGTGCCTGTGGTGCCGCACACGCCCCGTCAGTATCGGTGTCTGTGGTACTGCAGACAACCCTGTCGGTATCGCTGCCTGCGGCGCCGCAGACAGCTCCGCCAGTATCGATTATCTGTGGTACCGCAGACGGCCCTGTCGGTATCGCTGCCTGCGGTGCCGCAGACAGCTCCGTCAGTATCGGTATCTGTGGTACCGCAGACGGCTCTGTCAGCATCGTTGCCTGCGGTGCCGCAGACAGCTCTGTAAGTATCGGAGTCTGTGGTACTGCAGACGACCCTGTCGGTATCGCTGCCTGCGGTGCCGCAGACAGCTCCGTCAGTAGCAGTGTCTGTGGTACCGCAGACGGCTCTGTCAGCATCGCTGCCTGCGGTGCTGCAGACAGCTCCGTCAGTATCGGTATCTGTGGCGCCGCAGGCGCCTACGTGAGCATCAGGGGTTGTTTCACTGCACATGGCCCCGTCTACAGCACTGTCATTCATTCTACAGATGTGTCGTCGACTGACGCTGACATACAGGCACTGCTGCCTGAGGAGGACAGCGACAACCACGACGTCAGCCGGGCGGATGCTGCCCACGCCGGCTCAAGCAAAGGTGCGGCCACCAGTTAGGCGTGTGGGTGGAGCTTGCAGTATATTGATCATGCCATGAGCAGACAAATACAGGCAACAACTTTGTCTTTAAGCCAAAATCACTGTCTGCCTTTTGGCTATTTGTCCATCGGCTTCCGTCTTGAAAAGCGGAATGTTCCCTTGTCCTGGTTAACGGGGTTGAAATAGGCCAGCTACGGTCGTGTTTAACCCGCAGGCGACGGCTGCTTCTCTTCCCTTCGCTGCACAACGTGGGTCTCGCAGGTTTACTAGCTAACCAAAAAGCCATGTGTAGCAAACCCCCAAAATAAGACATTCGGCATGTTATGCGAAACTTTAGGCCTGGTCAACCAGGCGGAACTGGTGAAATAAACGTTTTTCTTCAGTGTTGCTACATGCGCCATGCTAGTAAAAGAGCGGTATCGGATACTCTGGCGCGGTGAAGATACACCAAGATCAACAATCGTAGGCTGTGACCTGCCACACGGCAATCACGGTCATTCATGTCAAGCTTTGTGTAGACTTCGGCCGGTGATATCGAAAACTACATACGGTTCGACCGCAAAGCACACGACGCTAGAAAGCACTGGTCAACGGGCATAAGATATCGGTTAATGTGACCTTACAGATGTCGAATTAGATCATGATGGGCTGCAGTCTCCATAGATATCCATGTGTTTTAACAATTTGAGGTCACGTGATCGTAGATGGCCATATATTATTAGACCTTAAAAGGAATGCTCCACGTTTGGAGACATTGCGACAAGCATCAAATACGGTGCAAAAAACTCACTTGTAGCTATTGATATGCTTAAAAGTGCAAAATACTGCTCTAGACAACAATGTTTTACTTGTAGACATGCTCCTCAAAAGGCGTGCTCAGCGATCCTTTCAAACATCTTTTGGCCGACTTTAAATTAGGCAGCGCGAAACACTGCACAAGTTTGTGAGCGTCAGGCCCAGAAAAGAGTGAAATGAAATCTTGAAAACAGCATAACTGCAAACTGCAGGGAATGGTCTTGCATATAGCTGCTTTAGTTTAAAAAAACACCATGCAATTATGGAACAGAAATAGTCTCTAGATATCAGCCTATTGAAATTTCAGCACCCGAATTTTTTCGGTACAGAAGCCGCCCCCAATAAATATGAAGGAACTATCCATGGTCCCATTGTCCACACATGGTAAAATGGAATGTTCCACATCTAAAAATTTTGAGATAAGCTTCAGGTATGACCGAAAAAGCTTACTTGTGACTATTAGTAGCTTGCGAACTTCAAAAAGCACCCTAAGTAACAAGATTTCAAAGTTTGTAAAAATGCGCCCCATTACGTCATTGTTTGATATCATCATGGAATGGTTTTGTGACGACAGCAATACCTGGGAGCATCTGGCAGCCAGACATAAAGAATAACTCGAAAAGTACCAAGGCTGGCGCCCACAAGCCGTTGCCGTCGCGGGCGCTATGTTAGACGACGGATTGGTGAATTGCTTGTTTGTGGATTTTTTGTCTTGGTACTGGTCGTAAGAAAAGCTTTGGTTAGCTGTTTGACATACGCAACGTAGCGATCGCCAGCTTTAAGGGCAGATTATCAATATCTAAGTACGATATGCTGTGAAGACTGTCGTGAATCCCATACCGAAACCTTCCAAGGGCCGTTAAGGATGTCAATACTGTATTGTCGACTTATCCTTACCTGCAGTGCTGTAGTCCTGACATTGATATCATGTGATGTGCACAGTGGTTACTCTCTTTATTATTTGTAACTGAAAATACAGTTGCATGCAAAAATGAATAAATCTGTAACATTGCTATGAATTGATTGGCAAAAGATTGCTGTTTCTATGGTAAATATAGTAAGGTTGAGTCAACAAAAATGTTTTTTTTTTGCTAAAGATTGTTTATGCGATTACTAGTGAGCCCTGGTATAACCGTTGTGATGCAACAGCATTCTCACCGTCGATAGTCCTCTGGCGTTGTTAAATCGGTTGTTTCCAGTCATTCATAGAATATAAGCTGTTATCTCATAGGCTTGACATAGGGTGATCAACCAATGTGATACAT